TAATTAAGAGAAACACAAAGAACGCAAGCGACGGAGACACACACTCACACGGGCGGAGAGGAATGCAGAGAGATGCACCCAGCCGTGCGCGTGGACATAGATCTAGCCTTTGGCAAAGCTACACACAGACGAAAAAAATACAAAGAGAGTCGGCGAGACGAGAAAGGGAGGCTGGCTGTGATTTCACCTTTGACCATCGCTATCAATTAATCCTTATTGTGTATCATGCGCGAGGTGGGATGAAGGCGGTGGTATGAAGGTGGCACAGCAGACAGTGGAACGCACAGGCAGTGTGTAGGCCTAGTGTGCTGTATCGTGACTGGCCGTCTAAATTAAGTTTTCATTTCCCATTCGACCACAAAACAAAAACAAACAAGCAAACAAAAACTACCATGGTGGGTAAAAATAAGAGTGCACACTTTTGCGGGACCACTATAGGCCTACTTACAAACAAAGGGAAATAGCACGGGAAATTTTCTACATGAAAATCTCTGGATTATGTCTACTTCGCACTTAAGCACGCTTCGGCATTAAGCACGCTTAAGCTTTCTCCCGATGACCGTGCTAAAAGCCGGCATGGACTGTACTATACAATGATTACCTTTGACCTTGGCCTTGTTGGATGAGACCGTCATCGACTCCTGTGCTCCTGCTGTTCTTAACCCTACCAGTACAACGTCGGGTATAAATGACCCAACCTCCTTTATTATTTATAATATCATAAAAACTAAAAGCCTAAACCAATTGTTCTTTTAGTTATGCTTTTGTTTACCATTTTTACAAATAATATCGCAATTTGACATGTTTCAGACAAAACCAAGTAGAACAAAAATTTACGTGTATATCACTATTCTTGTACAGGGTCGGGTCATTCTGACCCATAGACATCTCGGTGCCGAGGAACATGAATATATGTTTCCATTGAACCTTATTTTTTAAATCTCAAGTCTGGTGAAACAATTTTCAGGTTTGCATTCACTCGCAATGGCATTCTGAAACTTTGCAACTGTCTTCGGTTTGCGGACAAATCATCCAGAATCAAAGACGAAAACGAGATCTTTTTGCCCCAATTCGTGACTTGTGGGAGAAATTTCTTACGATCCTAAAAAGGCACAATGTTCCAAGCTTGTCGGTCACAGTAGATGAGCAGCTAGTACCTTGGAGAGGCAGATGTAGTTTCTTACAATACCTACCTTCCAAGCCTGACAAGTAGGGTTCAAAAATCTTCTGGGTCGCAGACTCTGAGACATTTTTTATACCAGTGCAGTGCTTTTAAGTCTAATTTGTTTCTGTACTAACGTATCCCCATAAATTACCTCCCAACCTCATGCCTTTGTTTTAGGTAATAAATACTAATTGAAACTTAAATTGTGTCTCTTTATGGCACTCTACTGTGCCTACTCCACGCATGATAATATTCAGATAAATGTAATTTCTTCTTTGGAAGTATATGGGTCAAAATGCCCCGACCTTGAACTTGAATAAAGTCAATCAAACGACCTTGTACTGGTAGGAATTTAAGTCTCCCGGCCGCACCTTTCCTCACCATTCCAAACACTTATCGTTTTGTTTTTTCAGGAAAAAAAAAGCTTTCAAATGTTCTGCGTAACCTGTGATAAAATGATAATGTTGTTTGTCATGTCCCATGTGCACGTTATCATAATTATCTGACAGAAAGTTCGAATGCTATTTGCTATCTATAACAACTATAATTGAATATCTCCTTGTTTGGCGTGAAAATATTATAGACTACATGAAAGATTCTATATCATGTTGTACAAGATCTTTGACTACATTCACGCAAAGACAGTATGGTTTTTGATTCACGCCAATAGATACATAATTCATGCAAACACACGCACAATACGTGTCACCTACGCAACAGGCCTACTTCTTTCCTATCTTGCACATTTGCCTTCG